GGCTGTTGAGTTTATCCAGCCCCACTCTAAGCTGTATGTATGTTGTGAAATTTTAATGTTTGTCCTTTTAATTTTTATATGTCCCCCCCCCCTTTTTTTTTTAATCTGTAAGCCGCCCAGAGTCCCTAGGGAGTGGGCGGCATACAAATCCTAATAAAACCTAAACCTAATTTCGCTTCCCCAATCGATGTGGTTTGTTGGAAACCGGCTAGGAAAGTCTCAGATCCCCATGAGGTGCCCACGAAATGCTGCAAATACCTTAATAAAAGCCGGTGCCCAGTGCAGTGGCCTCAATTGCGATCACAGGTTCATGGGGGGGTTTGGGAGGGGGCATCACTTTGAGACGGAAGTCTCTTTTCCTGAGGCTGTCATAACTTTGAACCATCTTGAATGTGGTCGTAAGTCGAAGACTGCTGTAGTTCCATTTATGTCACTCTTTCGGTTTCACTGCTGTTTGCAACAGACATTCTTGGGTGAGGGCCAACTGACCCAGGTCCTGCAGAGCTTTGAACTGAAGCCCAGATGTGGACTTCTTCTACCTTCTCTTCCTAGGTGGTGCTCCCAGGAACCTGCCTGTGCTTGAGAGGGGAGGTCAGGAGGTGAAAAAGAGGCTCACACTCTTCAGGAAGGTAATCTGAAGGGGAACCTTTATGGCTTGGGCTCATCTACCGCTTAATTTCATAAGTGGTGGGTTTGTTGTGGCCCTCGAGCGGCCAGCAGAGCTGGTAGCAGACTCAGACAGTGAGGAGGTTGGGGAGGAACATGGACCAGTCCTGGAGTCTGGGGAAGGCTCTGATGAGGGCTCTTTGTTGGAGGCAGAGAGGGGGTCAGGTCCATCCGACAGTTATCAGCTGCCTCCGGAGTTGGAGATCAGTGAGGCAGAAGAACAGCTGGAGCCTGTTCCCAGTATGCTCATACGCAGAGCTGCCAGGAGAAGGGAACAGCTAAGGAACAAGGGCCGACTGGGGAGTAAAGCCACAGGTGGATGCTGAATGGCCCCTCCCTTAGGGAATAAAGAGGAGCAAAGGGGGAGTGGAGTTTGCAGGAGTCAATTAGTTCGCTTAATTAGTGTGAAGATCTGTTCGTGACTCTCAGAGTATTTTCTGGTACAGCATTGCATTTGGAAGATATTGGCCTGGCAGCTCTCCAAGCCTGATAAGGTCTGTGGTTGTAAATTCACCCTTGAAAGACTGTTTGCCGGGACTTTGCTGGATGTGAACGACAGGAATTCGCATGAGCTTAATAAAAAGGGGTTTTGTTGGGACAAGGAGTCTGCTTCGTGATTTGGTGAAGCCGATATCAGATCAGTGTTTGATTTTAAAAACATAATAATTAAAATTTAGTTGATTCTATTTCATTTATATGTTATTTGGCTGATCGCTGCATTTAAATGAACCAAAAGGAAAAAAAAAATACAGTACAGCGATTCTATGAAATATTCAACCAAAACTTGGGATAAACAGCAATTTTTTCAGAGGTCTCAGAGAGTCTAAGAAGGCAGATTTGTTTCTTTTACTATCTTCTGGTCTTACTTTATTTTTTTTAAAGGAATTTTATTAAACATTACAATTAAAAAGAAAAACTAATACAAATTCGCACAATTTCATTGCAGATTGAGGATTTCCGTTCACTAGAGAAAATTTCCAGGGAAGTCAAGTCAATCACTATTATCGGTGGTGGTTTCTTAGGGAGTGAATTGGCCTGCGCTCTGGGGCGCAAAGGTGAGTGTGGTCACCCAGAAAGAGCAGAATTTAAGACCTGAATTTAAGTGGCTGTTAACGTTTTTTTATTAAGTTATTGGAACCAGTAACCTCAAATGTATCCAAATCCTTGTTTTATCTTAGGCAGGGTGGATTTGATTAAAATCAAGTCGATTTAAATCATGATTTGATTCACTAGGAAACGGGCTTGGTTTAAATCAACTCGATTTAAATCATGATTTTGAAAAAGCACCTATCCTCTGACCCACTGTTGACTCAACGACAGTCCCAATATTGCAGAATCTACAGCCTCATGCTACATCACTAAGCTCCATTTCATGCTGAATAAACTAAATTGTAAATGTATCTTAAAATAGCAAACTAAAGATAGATAAAAAAATAGGATTTCTTAAAATTTGAATTGGCTTTATTTTTATTTTTATCAAATTTATTTTAGTATAATGCTTTTGGAGTAAAAATCTAAAGATAGTTTTACTCCAAAAGCATTATATTAAAATAAATTTGATTTTAAAAAATCCAATTTAAATTTTTTTTAAAATCCTATTTTTTTTTTAAAAACACATCAATTTTTATCCACCCTTGTTTTCCAACCCATCTATCAGTAAGAACATCTATTATCTTAATGAAGACAGCTCTTCTTGTTTTCTATGAACTACCAGGATTGTGTTTAATAATAATAATTTAACAGATACGCTGCCCTGTGTGATGACATTTATTTTGAAATACACATGTGTCCTTTTGCCTTTTGATTTCCCCCCAGTCCTGAATTTTGGCTCAGTTCTAGATGTTTAATTTTTTTTTTACCTGGGACAGCATGGCATTTCTTCAGATACTGAATTCCTACTCCTATGTCTTTTTGGTACTAGGGCATTAACCTAGCTAAATAAATCATTTTATTTTATTTTATTCCAGCCTAGCACATTAGTTTTCTTGGATGCCAAAGAAAAAGAAAAGCCAGTGCTGTCTGGTAACTGGCTGCGTTTATAAACTCCTCTATTTCCAAACAATTCAGCCTGGATTCATTGGCATGGCCCCCTCAATGGTCTTGTGCCTAGCCTTTATTTAGTGTGTGTGTGTTGTCCATGTGTTTAAATATTTGCACTTGATCTTCAGTTTTTTTCCCCCCACTTCAAGGCAGCTAAAAAAGCCACGATAGCTGTGCCAAATCAAAAAAGAGGAAAGAAAAAAGCAACAGAACAGAACCAAAACAAAGGCACAGCAGCAATTAAATCTTTTTTTTTAAAAAAATAGGCATGTTGTCTGCCCCTTTCCTGCCAAAATACGTTGAGTGTCTCCAGGTATCCACAAATGATAAAACTCAGTGTGGGCATCCACAGACCAAAGGGCTTTTTCCTAGTTGCTTTCTGCTTAGTAACAAAACTGGAATGAAGCTGCCAATGGGCGCCTGTTAAAAGAGACATGTTGGCAGGGCCCCCTGGTGCCCAAATTTCAGACTGGACGAAGCACTCCCAGAAAAATCAAGCAGGCAGCCTAAGTTCTCCCCTTCCCTTTGCAGCGCAGTCGAAGGGCCTCGAGGTCATCCAAATGTTCCCAGAGAATGGCAATATGGGCAGAGTCCTACCTGAATACCTGAGCAACTGGACCACCAACAAAGTCAGTCAAGGTGAGATTGCCAACGACTTTCTTTTCCACCACTGGGGGCCTCTTTTTTGGCAACCTGGGGAGGTCTCAGCTGGCTTGTTCTGGTGTCGAGGCTGCTCTTTGCTTTTAGTTTTAAGAATGGCCTTGTTGTGGCCCAGCAGGAGCCGTTGGAGCTGCCACCAGACTCCGACAGTGAGGGGCCCTATGAGTCGGCTCTGGAGGATGTGGAGGACCCTGGACCCCGACTCCGAGCAGGGTGCAGAGAGGTTGGTTGGCCACCAGGAGGCACCTGAGCCTTGGACCAGGGGGGAGGAGACAAGGGAGAGTGAGTCGGAGGCCAGCAGTGAGTTGTTTCTGGATGCACACCATTGAAGAGCTACTAGGCGTTAGGAACAATTACGCAATTACAGGAGGTAATTGTGCTCAGCTGGTG